ACTGGAAATCATATAAATGAGAATCTAACATTTTATTAAATTCATGAAAGAAAAAAGTGATTAAAATGCAGCAAAAAATAAAACAATAGATGTTCCCCTACAAAAACTAAAATTAATGAATATTATCATTTCCCTAATTCATAATTATGCAGATATACCTTTTTAAAACAAAATTAGGAGAGGTGGATTGTGAGCAGCTCTCAATGTGCAAATGTTTTATATTGTGGTTTGGGCAGAAGCCTCAAGTTAAGATAGCAGAGGGTTAGGAAAATGACCCTTCATATTTAATTTTCTTCCAGGAATATTAATAAGATCTCTAATAACAGTTCTCATTCAAGAGTTTAGCAGTTGAAATATAGTAGGGCAAACAAGCTTCAACTATTCTAGCTTTAAGAGGTAAAACTATTATGATTAAAGAATCCCACTAATTTATACATGCCAAATAAACACCCATAAGATGGAATGCAATGAAGTCAGTAGCTCTATTTCTATATTATACTCAATGGCCTTTGAAAGGAATCTACATGTGCTTCGTTTTGGGGCTTTGACCTGTGGTTTCTGTTAATTGAAGTCTCATGGTCATAAATTTTTATAATGTGATGATATTTTTGTCTTCCTTAACTTTCATCTGTGTTCATACTAAGATTTCATTTATGAGCATAGGATAATAATGGGTCCTGACTACAAGCATCTACCCCTTAGCAAACAGAAACAATTCCACTTAGTGATAATGTTAATTATGGCTAAGCTATGTGTTGTGACTTTGAAATGACTACGGTATGATTAGAATAAGAGTGTGAGATAACTGATGCTTACAAAATGAACTGGAAAGTGGCTGTGCTATGTTTATTGTAAATGTATCAGAATGATTGTTCATTTACTATTTTAAACTAGTTCAGAGCATAAAATATGTGGCAATTGGAACAATGCAGTAGCTTTAATTGTAGATTTTGTGAATGGCAAAATGATCATTCACTGTGGTAAAATAAAAGAATCTTCAACTCACTCGCATTGTTGTATCCTCAGGTAATATTTTTCTTTTGACTTTTTAGCTACTTAAGCAGTCCTTTTTATTCTTAAATTTTGTATATTCTAATCATACAAAATACTACCGTAAGAGTTATTTAGCCATTTAAAAACAGCATCAACATATGGTCTGCTAGAAACCTGTTTTATATTTCACATAGAAGGGATTCATGTATTTTACAGTGGGCTTTGAGGCACTGCACTTTTACTGTGTATATTCACCTGAGGAAAAGTCTGAAAAAAATCCTTACATTTCCATAGATGTGGAAAAATTGCAATGTCAAATGAATAGGTTAAATAATAGAATTATTTATACAATATCTAAGTTTGGTAGGTTTGCTTAGTGATTTTTTTTTTTTTACTTTTAAATATCTAAAAATAAGTGTTCATATTTAAAAAGGAAAGCCATTGTATTAAAAAACAAAAGGTGTTCCTGAACACGCCATCGCAGTGCATAACTACATGAAAGAGCCTTCAAGGCATCTTCAGCCCAATACAGAATGGGAAACACGGAGGTTTAAAATAGATGCCCTTTATCCTCCCTGTAAGTTAGAACAAGTTATTCAATCATGCATTAAGACCTTCTCAGACAACCTTTATAGGTCATGCAAAAAATAAATATTATTTCTTTTGTTCCAAGTGAACTGTTACTATTATTAATGCTTCTAACTTTACTCAGGCATCTGGCGTCGTAGGTACAACCCATAAAACAAACCTTCGTGGTTTACTGATTTTAAAAGATCAATCAAATATAGATAGTGCTTTCGGGGCCAATATTTAAGGAAAAAGGGTAATCCTTTCGAGAGTCATTCTATCCGGCTCTTGCATGAAAATGAGAAACGCGTGAGGATACTAGACGGAACAGGAGTCAGAGAAATGAATTGCACAGGGAAAGACAAATACTACATGTCAAGTTGGAATCAGCAGAAAGTGTAGGAGGAAAGGAAACGTTCCACAGCTTGGGGAGCAGCTGGACAGGACTCCTTCCAGCCTCTCCCGAGCAAAGTTTGCAGTTAGGTGAGGTGAAGCGGCTTTTGCCGCAGCCGCGCGTTCGGGCGAGCTCGGGTTCACAGGTTCTGGGCGCGGCGGGAGCAGAAGTGCAAGGACAGCCTGGATCGGCCGCCGCGGCCCGTCCTGCTATTGGAGACAAGATTTCGCCCCGCTAAGCAGACTGGCCTAGGGCTCACTAGGGTGACTCGGGGATCCCAGAGGCTGTCATTTTCCCTTTCTCCCGGCAGCTTCCGTCACCCTGCACGTAAGGAGGGCTCAAATTAATTTTCTTTCCGGTCTTGATTGAGATTCGAATATCCTCTGTCCCGACCTTTCCTATTCGCCCTCTCTGCCCTTCTTGCCAATGTCCTCGCCAGCAAAAGCCTCTAGTTGCGGCACCGGGAATGTAGCACGTTTAACGCGCTCCGGGGATCTGCTGGGCCGTGCTCTCCTCCGAGGGCCGACAGTGTGTCTTGGACCCCGGGTGGACTCTCCCATCTGTGCATTTTGGTCCCTCCATTTAGCAAAGAGAAGTGTGGAGCGTGCGCCGGCAGCTGAGCCGCCTCGGCATCCCCCAACCGCCCGCAACGGTGCCCGAGGCTGCCGGATCCGCGCACGCACGCCCGGCCGGCCTCCCGCGCCCCCTGCTCGTGCGACCGCCGGGTCTCGGCCGCTCGCCGCCCTGTGCCGTCCGGAGCAGCCGCCAGCCCCTCAGCGCCCGTGAGAGCCGCGTCCGCGGGGGGCCTGGGGAGCGTCGCCTTTTCCCTCCCGGGCCGGACCCTGCTGGGCATGCTCAGTGCACCTCCTGGAACCCGGCTCTCCCGTGGCCAGGATCGGGTCTCCGGGTTTTCGCGGCTGCCGAGGGGTCGATGGGGAGGAGAGGCTGGCAGATAGTCAGCGCCTTGTTCCACGCCCAGCTGCGGCCGCCCGCACTGCAAGATAAGGGCCAATCAGGGGCCGGGGCGGCGCTTAGGCCGTCACGCCCTCCCTCTGGGTTATTGAGAGTTCTATCAAGAAATTCAGTTCAGAGAGAGAAGAGAGAGAAGGAGAGAGGGGCAAAGGAGAAGAGAGAGAGGGAGAGCATGCCAGACAGGAAGGAGCGTCCTAGAGTCTCCGAAGCACGAAAGAGATAACCAATTAGGAATTTTTCGGGCATTGTCACCCACCCCGAGAGCAGCCGGAGTCTCACCATCACCCCAACTCTGACGTTTCCTACAAGAAGTTAGAGACTTAAGCAGTATTGACATCGGAGGGAAATGGTATGTTTGATGCTGTGGAAAATACCCCTGAGCTGAAGAAGTGCAACTGGATGTTGTGTGTGCGTTAAATACCAGAAGAGCTCAGACCCCGTGGGTAATAGAGACGAAATGTGGAGAGAATGACTAACGAGAAATCTGTGAATTTGTTCTCTGGAGTTGCTAATTTGCCAGCCCGAAGCAACACATTTTACAAGGAGGAAACGTTTTGCTGCTTCTGATTTCTCCCCAAACTGGTGCTACCAGACGCATGGCTTTCTATATGTTGGAACAGTTCGTTTCTAACTGCAGCATACCGGGAAAGGGGAAAGGTTGAGGCAACTAACGTAAGTGTAAAGTTTCGCATGCACAATTGTAAATTTTGTGTTTAGATATGTCCTCGGTGTAGACGAGGGATGTTTGTAGTTGGGTAGACGGTTGGGGCAGAGCTCACCTACTAGGCTGTATCTGCATCCCTACCTGCATCACTCTGCCGGAACTAATCGCGGGCATCAGCTACCGTGCAGCCTAATGCAGATAAGATTAGAGCCTGGGTACTGACCAGTTCTACTCAAGTAGGTAGCTGTCTGGAGCCTTGCACCCGTTTAAATTGCAGTTAGGAGGGCATCTAAGCAGAAGGCTTTTTACCTGCGTTATTGAGTTGCAGTATTTACGTGTGGCAGATGTTACTAATATTACAACCGGAGATCGGGGTTAAGAAACTGCGTTTTCTTCCCCTCTTTTATGCTCAGTAGAAAATATCGTGCTGTTACATGGAAATGTTAGCTGCGTTTCACTTATATCTTGGCACTCCCTTCCACCTCTAGGATAAGGAATCCTATGTTATTATATATATTCTAAAAGTTTTAATGTGTTTCTTAATTCTAATGGTGATAATTTGGCAGCATGGAGAAATGAGAGCAAGGTCTGGGTAAGAAACTGAAGGTCTTGGTATTGTGCTTTTAGGCAATGAGGTTATACAGTGGCCAGAGACTTGCTTCTGACGCTGCAGCAGCATGTCCGGATGCTTGCTTCCCAGTAAAATTGTATTTAGAAAGCAGTTGAAGAACTGGGAGGAAAGAAAAAAGATAGTCTTTTTAGAAGAAAGAGATGACTCAGTGTGGCAGAGAAGAAAACACATCACGTATGACATGTGAGAAAGCAATTAGCAGGAACCATAGCTAAATAGTTAGTGTTTTTCACTGGCTCCAAAAAAAACTAAGGGAGGTCGGTTAGAAGCCAGGAGGCGGGTAAGCCAGGGGGAGGAGGGGTGTGAATGGGAGGAGATGGGGGTGGGGGCGTGGTGGTGGTGGAGGGGAAGAGGAGAACAAGAACGCATGTTTTGAATTAAACAGTGTCCTGAAAACAGTGTGGGTTCATACAGGTAAAAATAACAGCTGTCTTTAATTCAAAAGTAGATAATTTCATTTTCTCTGGGCAAATGCAACAAGCCTGGGATATTTAGTATTTTTATCCACAGAGTTAAGTTGCAAACAGTGGAAGAACAAACTGACATGTTTACTAATATGCAGTGGGAAAATGTGTTGTGATATTTCGTGACTGTGTGCTTCTGTTTACTGAAGAATAATATTGTCTATATGATTGTGTTGACAGTGGCTGTCTCCAAATAAGTCATGAGATGTAATGCATCCTCCAGCCCATGCACACTTCCTCTTGCAATTTGTGCATCATTCCTCAGTGGAAACCTTTAAACCCTAAAACCCAGGAAAAGAAAATAAATACATTATCATGGACCTGAGGGATTTTTACCTGTTGGCTGCTCTGATTGCCTGTTTAAGGCTGGATTCCGCAATAGCTCAAGAACTTATTTACACTATTAGAGAGGAATTGCCTGAAAATGTGCCCATAGGAAACATACCAAAGGATCTGAACATTTCTCACATCAATGCTGCCACAGGGACCAGCGCCAGCCTTGTCTACAGACTGGTTTCTAAAGCTGGGGATGCCCCTTTGGTGAAAGTATCCAGTAGCACTGGCGAAATTTTCACGACCTCCAATAGAATAGACAGAGAAAAACTCTGTGCTGGAGCCTCTTACGATGAGGAGAATGAGTGTTTCTTTGAACTTGAGGTGGTGATCCTCCCCAATGATTTTTTCAGGCTGATCAAAATTAAAATAATTGTCAAGGATACCAATGATAATGCCCCCATGTTTCCATCTCCTGTCATCAATATTTCCATCCCAGAAAACACTTTCATCAACAGCCGCTTTCCAATTCCATCAGCAACAGATCCTGACACAGGCTTCAATGGTGTACAGCATTATGAATTGTTAAATGGGCAGAGTGTTTTTGGACTGGATATTGTGGAAACTCCGGAAGGAGAGAAGTGGCCACAATTGATTGTTCAGCAAAACTTGGACAGAGAACAGAAAGATACCTATGTGATGAAAATCAAAGTAGAGGATGGAGGCACTCCACAGAAATCCAGCACAGCCATACTGCAGGTCACAGTAAGTGATGTAAATGACAACAGGCCAGTGTTTAAAGAGGGTCAAGTGGAGGTGCATATTCCAGAGAATGCTCCCGTAGGCACCTCTGTAATTCAGCTCCATGCCACTGATGCAGATATAGGCAGTAATGCTGAAATCCGGTACATTTTTGGTGCCCAGGTCGCCCCTGCAACCAAAAGACTCTTTGCTTTAAATAATACTACTGGGTTGATTACAGTTCAGAGGTCCTTAGATCGAGAGGAGACAGCCATTCACAAAGTGACAGTGCTGGCTAGTGATGGCAGCTCCACTCCCGCTCGAGCAACGGTTACCATCAATGTCACTGATGTAAATGATAACCCTCCAAACATAGACCTCAGGTACATTATAAGTCCCATCAATGGCACAGTATATTTGTCTGAGAAAGATCCTGTCAATACAAAGATTGCCCTAATTACAGTTTCAGATAAGGACACAGATGTGAATGGCAAAGTGATCTGTTTTATTGAAAGAGAGGTCCCGTTTCATTTGAAGGCAGTATACGACAACCAATATTTGTTAGAGACCTCCTCTTTGTTGGACTATGAGGGCACCAAAGAATTCAGCTTTAAAATTGTTGCCTCTGATTCTGGGAAGCCCAGTTTAAATCAGACTGCTCTGGTAAGGGTTAAGCTTGAGGACGAAAATGACAACCCACCAATTTTCAACCAGCCTGTAATTGAGCTGTCAGTTTCTGAAAACAACCGACGTGGGTTGTACTTAACAACTATTAGTGCCACAGATGAAGACAGTGGGAAAAATGCAGATATTGTTTATCAGCTTGGACCGAATGCCTCCTTCTTTGATCTGGACCGAAAGACAGGAGTTTTGACAGCCTCCAGAGTCTTTGACAGAGAAGAACAAGAAAGATTCATTTTTACAGTAACTGCCAGGGACAATGGGACTCCTCCCCTCCAAAGCCAAGCGGCTGTGATAGTTACTGTTCTGGATGAGAATGACAATAGCCCCAAGTTTACTCATAATCATTTTCAATTTTTTGTGTCTGAGAATCTGCCAAAGTATAGTACTGTGGGGGTAATCACAGTGACAGATGCAGATGCTGGAGAGAATAAAGCTGTGACTCTTTCCATTCTAAATGACAATGATAATTTTGTGTTGGATCCCTATTCTGGAGTCATAAAGTCAAATGTCTCATTTGATAGAGAGCAGCAGAGTTCCTACACTTTTGATGTCAAAGCCACTGATGGAGGACAACCACCCCGTTCCTCTACTGCAAAAGTAACTATAAATGTCATGGATGTCAATGACAATAGTCCAGTTGTCATTTCGCCACCTTCTAATACTTCTTTTAAGTTGGTGCCTCTCTCAGCCATTCCTGGCTCCGTGATAGCAGAAGTTTTTGCAGTGGATACTGACACTGGGATGAATGCTGAACTTAAGTATACAATTGTGAGTGGGAACAACAAAGGCCTGTTTCGGATTGATCCAGTAACAGGTAATATCACTCTGGAAGAAAAACCAGCACCTACTGATGTGGGCTTGCACCGACTGGTGGTCAACATAAGTGACCTGGGATACCCTAAGTCTCTGCACACACTTGTGCTTGTTTTTCTTTATGTTAATGACACTGCTGGCAATGCCTCCTATATCTATGACTTGATTCGCAGGACTATGGAGACCCCATTGGACAGGAACATAGGCGATAGCAGCCAACCCTATCAAAACGAAGACTATCTCACCATCATGATCGCCATTGTCGCAGGTGCCATGGTGGTCATCGTCGTGATCTTCGTCACCGTTCTGGTGCGCTGTCGCCATGCATCAAGATTCAAAGCAGCTCAGAGGAGCAAGCAAGGTGCCGAATGGATGTCCCCAAACCAGGAGAACAAACAAAACAAGAAAAAGAAAAGGAAGAAAAGAAAGTCTCCCAAGAGCTCTCTTTTGAACTTTGTTACCATCGAAGAGTCCAAACCCGATGATGCAGTTCACGAACCCATCAATGGGACAATAAGCCTGCCGGCTGAGCTGGAAGAGCAAAGCATAGGTAGATTTGACTGGGGTCCGGCACCTCCAACCACCTTCAAGCCGAACAGCCCTGACCTGGCCAAGCACTACAAATCCGCTTCTCCACAGCCCGCTTTCCATCTTAAACCAGACACTCCGGTTTCCGTGAAAAAACATCACGTGATTCAGGAGCTCCCGTTGGACAACACCTTTGTCGGGGGTTGTGACACCCTTTCCAAACGCTCTT